GGCCTTCTGACTTGAGGAATCATTCGCCCACAGGGAGGAGGGTGGTGGGGAGGTTTGACGTAACCATGGCGATCGCGGGTGCGGTGTGCTATCCTTGAATCCCTGGGTGGTCTAATCCGTTGACTTCGTGGGTGTAATAGTTCCAGACTCGGGGGGGTTGTTAGCAGGATGTGGCCGAAATACTCCGACGATGATGTCGTCTCTTGGTTTGGATTTGGAATTCCCCAAGGTTCTCGACCAGCTCCCAATATCTAGAGTGGATGGGAGACATGACCTTGCCCAGCTGGGTCCGGAAGGGCGAAAAACTGCACTCTGACGAGGGTGTTGGTGAAACGGGTGGACTTCCGGGCGGCGATACCGTCGTATTCCAAAGTGGCGATGTGCCCGTACTTGCTGGGGGAGACCCTCCAGTAGCCATAACCGACCAGCCCTACTCCCGTATGGGCGGAAATCCTGTTCCGTCGTGCCCCAGGCCTCCTCGCCTCTTTCCCTCAACCCGTCGCCCTGACCACTTGAACTAGCGTCTGAGTGTTTTTTAGTCGACCCTAGTAATAGATACTTAGCTTCCTCCGTCTAACCCTCCACTCAATGATAATCCGCACAGAGTGTAGGGGCTGAGGTGATGGTGTGGCCCGCATGTCGCATAAGAGCTGTATATCGCGACTCCTTTCTGGAAGAGACCCGACGGTAGTTTGCCCAGCGGCGTGCGGCTGAGTGTGGGTGTGTCAACATGAGGACCCACCTGAACTCTGTGAACCTCTACATCGCCGTCAAGTCGGTCCAACAAGTGGTGGGAGGGCGTAATCTGCCCCCTCCTCTCATATCGAGATTTGATCAACTGAGGCAGATGTCTTTGTCTGGCCCCACCGGTCGATCGAAATTGGGCTAACAGACGCAGCAACCTCTCTCCATAGCTCGGTTTGTCCTGAGCTTTTGTCGAGACAAAGACCCGCCCATTGACTGAGTGGCGGATATCAAATGTGTGGGTTGTTTGCCATGGTTACGCTCCCACCTTCGGTAAAAGTTGATTGTCGCGAAAGAGAAGAGAAGAAGGTTGTTGAGCGGTTTTATGTGGGGGGTTGCCCCTTCGTTTTCTTATAGTGAGAGCGATATTCTGTACGAGAGACGGTCTCCAGGGGAAGAGGGAGAGGATTGGTTCGACTCAGCCATGGATGTGGACGCCCGGTGTGTGATGTGAAGTGGTGGCGAGTTTGGGGAGGAAGTGGGTGGGCTGGTAGGGAGCCTCGCGGGCGTGGGAGGGTAGCTTCCGGCCCTCCCCTTTCCAATGGGCGGAGGGGAGGACTGCAGAGATATGGAAATACGACAGAATATTCATAAGTAAGTTATCACTGAAACCAGAGCTGCACAAATGAGAGAGAAGAGGTCGGAGCTCACTGGTGGAGAGGTGGATGAGACCGGGGGGGGTTCTTCTCGTGAGGATTAGTCTGGGCACAGATCTGAGCTCCGTCCGAATTGGACACCTAGTCATGTGGAGGCTGAAACTGACCCAGGGACTGAGGCTGTTGCTGTGGCGATGTGTGAGTGTGTGATGTCTCGATTTGCAGCTCTTCTCAGGTCTGGGCAGAGGCAGTGTGGGGAGGGGTAGATGGGATGCTTCGTGGGTCTCCAGCTGTGACGCTAATATGGATTACATTCATCTGATACTGGAGGCTGCTTCGTGGGTCTCCAGGCCTGTGACCATCTATGGATTACATTCACTATACATGCTGCTTCGTGGGTCTCAGCCGCCTGGGGGGGGGGGGGGGACATATATGGATTACATCACTAACATGCTGCTTCGTGGGTCTCCAGCCTGTGCATAAATGGATTACATAAAGTATACATGCTGCTTCGTGGGTATCCAGCATGTGAGTTAATATGGTTACATCACTATACAGGCAAGAAATGGGTCTTCATAGCATAGATTGGTTTTTAGTTTTTTGCATACCTAGCTGAGAGGTTTTAGCACACAAAACACAATAATTTGTGCCAAAGACTTACAGAGTCTAGTCGTAAGGGTGCTAAGTGTGGTTGGGGGAAATATGTAGAATACGTTGGAAATCAAGGACTATATATAATAGCAGCAGACCAAGAGAAGGTACTGTAGTACGTTTGAAACAGGCACACACAAGAATTGATGAGGGACTTGCTCTCTGTAAATACTACTCAACCAACGAGTGCTTGCCACTCACAAATTTTTGCCCTGTGCCGGCCTGCTCGTGAGTGTGGTTACACCGGCACGGCTACAGCAGTGATGGTGCCTGGGCTCACCTGCAGGGGGTGGTCTCGCCGGGCTAGGAGGGTGTGGGTCCTGGGACGAGTCTGAAGTGCTCCATGGTCCGCCCTGTAGTTGTTCCCGCGTCACCAGCGCCTCTCATGGTACCCGCTGACAACATTGTCCTCTGGGGAGATTAAGATTAACAATAATGGAGAGTATACGAAACGGCCTAATGATGAAGAGTACAGAACTTAATACTGCAGTGTGGTCCAAGAGCAAGAGAAGGGCAGAGCTATCCCAGGCCCGTTCTGGGCTCCACCCAAACACTCTGCATATACAACTCTCCATCGGGTGCCTGGTCGATGAGGAGATTGTAGATGGAAGGCATCCAGCGCGGTACGCAGCGAGTCTCTCCTCACGGCCGTCCTTGATCTCTGACTGACTGACTCCCCTCCCAGATAATGACGACATTTAGCTCCATCACCTGGTGAGGAGGACATGCTGAGTAAACAAAGAGACTGACTGTCGTCAATGTGTCACTAAGTGAACCCCAAGCCCAATAAAATAAGTTTAGATGGCCAGCCATTCGTGAATGCTTTCTTAGAGGCAGCCAACATAAACCAGTCTCACTCAGTCACGATACTATTCACTCCCAAGGTCACAAGTAAAATCCACACGCCGATAAACATAGGCTAGACCCACAAGCACAGTGAGCAATAATTCCATTGAGCCCCTTGTGACTATCTGCACGCAACATGACACCCTGCGGCTGCGTGTGTCCACCTCACGTTTGAAACGCTACAGAGAAATCTACACGGCTGGCTGCAAGAACATGCATGGTCAGCTAGTAGCTACTATCTGCATGCCAGACTGACACACCCCCAACACAGGGATCTGGATAGCAGCCACGCTGAACCAACAAATCTTGCCAGATCTGGCCTTGAAATGCGCAGATGAAGCAGCTAAGTAGCTATGGTAGAAATAGTGAGTAGGTTTTAGTTAGTGTGGCACATTATGAGCTACTAGGTTTTGTAAAATGAGAGATCAGGAACCTCGTACTGACAAAATCTGATTGGTCGATCCAAATGAGCGAGATTATCCACTCGGGACTGTGTGTTTATCTAGAGACTCACAGATTTCTGGGTGGCCTGGTCAGGGAGTGTGTACTTGTATGGATGAAGAGGATGAGCTCCATCTTTAGTGATCCATGGATGGTTCATCACCTCCACAGCTTGATCCTCTCCTGTGAGTGGGCTGTAGGAGCTTCACCTGAGAGAACAGGTAGGGATGGAAGTTAAATAATGAGAAATATTCTGGAGGTATTATAGAAAGTTTATTCTGTATTGTATAAAGACATCTTATTTGTTTATGTTGTCAGCACTATTGTTGTCTAGATAGAAAGTAAAATGGCCCGTTTCCCATGACAGGCCACAATATATATGGAACATTTGATAAACAAGACGACTAGATGAAGTTCATTATCATTTGGTAATGGAGATTTGATCAATACCAGACGACTAATTCATATACTAGATAGGCCCACTTCAATTTATAACCAAACTGACCATCAGATCCTTTCCCTCGGGGTGTCACGTGACTCATGTCTTCTCCCTGCTCCGGTCAGCCGGCCTGGATCTGTTCTAGCAGTTTCTGTCTCTTTCTTGGAGCCCCTGACGAGGCGATCTGAACGGGAGCTTCCCCACCAGCATGGCAACATGTTGACTCCACTGCGACGGGAGAAGGGGAAGGAAAATGGTCAAATGTGAGTCATCAGTGAGTGGTGATGTGGGACTATGATGATAATTGATGAAAAGTTTCCAGTCAGTAGCATTATTATGACAGATGAAAAGAGAAAAGGGACTCTAATGTCACCTAATTGTAGACTCTCTAAAACCAAAAATTAATAACAAAGAGAGAAGTTACAACGACATTTATCACAATCCCAACGAAGTTTTCTAATAGGAAGACCTTGTAAAAGTGTTACAGTGTTGTACTCTACGCTACACTTCATCTTACAGACTCCAGACGTCGACCTCTGGACCGTACTCTCTGCCGGGGATGAACATCTCTGGGGCCGCGTACTCCGGGCTCCGCAGTGCGTCTGAGGAGCTCCCGGGGCCTGCGCGTTGGACTCAGACTCAAAACATGGGAAAATGATACGCTGTGGAGACTTTCACATAGAAGACATCTTTGAGAGATCTGTAGTTTCCTAGCCAACAGTTGAAAGGTCTATCGTGCCAATGAGCTACAGACACACACCTGCACACTACTGTTTGTATGTGTGTGGCGTGTTTTGACTCAGTTGACTCACTCACCAACTATCTTGACTGTCCGCATCTTGTTCGAGGTCCAACATAATGTCTCCATCCACTTCAATAGTCCTGCAGCGAGCGAGTGAAATACTCAGTGCAACGCTCCAAAGAACCACTCTATGATAAGAACACTAGTTCTGTCCCACTACTGCTTCACTATTCGAATGGAGAATATTTTCGATGGAACCAAGGTGGATCTTATTCATCAGCACAGGCCCTACGTAATCCACATCCTAGTGTATGTGAGCTGTCCTCTTTATGGAATTTCGCAGTGTGTGGCAGCTCACTTATTGTCTGGCTGCTGTCGTTAATCGATGAGTCCAGTAAGTGTAGTCCCACGGGTGCAAAGTGCGAGAGTGTGTGCGTCTCTGTGAATGTACAACTTGAAGAGAGAGTGAGAGTGGGCAAGCCTCACACACCACACACACACACACTCCCATGCTATACACTCTACGGTGAGCAAGATGTACGTCAACTAGAGACTCCAGCGGAAAGTGGAAATGCACATTAGGATAATATAGCACATGAACTTCATCGTCCCTACATCTATAATGGTATTTATTTTTTACCAACATCATTATGTACTTTGATCTACCAACTCATAATGCCTGTATAAATCCTCATAGCTAGGTACAATGAAGAGGCTAACAGGACAGAGAAAGATGTGTGATTGTTGTTTGTACCTGTGAACAATTCCAGCAGAGTGGAGATGATGAAGAGCAGACACCAGTTGTCTGATGAAGGGTCGTGTAGTCGCCTCTGAAAGCCTCTTCTCCTTGAAGTCGTTTCTGACGTGAGACAGCAGCTCTCCTCCCTCTGCCACCTCCATCACCAGACAGTAGAGGTTGCTAGTCTTCATGGTCTCGTAGAGTCTGATGATGTTTGGGTGGCGCAGTCTCCGCATTAGCTGGGCCTCTCGCAGGAGGTTCTTACGGACGTACTCCTCCGGATTTTGTCTGTTTCGATGATCTTTATGGCAACCTGCATTCAGAGTAGAACAGAGAGAGAATAAGGAATAAGGGAAAGAGGTGGCATAGTTCTCAAAGTGTGGGAAGAGAGGGAGGGAGAGAGAAGGGGAGAGGGCTGGGGAATATTTAGCTGCATCATCTTGCAATGCACATTATGAGCTACTTTAGCCAGCCAGCCAGGCAATTTTGATAAGCCAAGAGCTTCACACAATATATGCAGATGTGGTATATAGTCAGGCTAAACCTTACACAGGGAGAGAGATGTATTAGTATACCTTGTGCCCAGGTTCAATCATATAGCTAGTATAGACAACTCATTATACTATAACTATACTAGAGTTCAGCGCTACACAATATCTCTATGGCGTCAATGTACCTTCGACCGTGTGAGAGTGTGGACTGCGAAGCCTCGACTCGAGCAAAGTTTCCGTTGCCCAAGGTTGGTCCCGGTGATAACGTACGGGCGGCCGATGCATCTCACGTGTTTGCTGGAGCCCGAGCCGGACCCGCTGGCGGAAGACGCCGACGACGCAGCGTGATGCGATCTTCCTCCGTTCAGTCCATTGACAATTGCCTTTTGCATCTTCCTTCTCTTTGTTCTTTCCTCTTGGATCGCTCTGTATCAGGATCGTATGCAGCTTTGGTGTAGTTCTCGCACAACGGAAGACAATGAGCGGATCAAAAAAATTCGACAAGATAACAACTTTCACGGCTGCTGTCGCAACTGGTAAGCTACAGGCGGAAACGACGCATGATCTGGCTTGCGTTGTGCTCTGCTGCACAGGTGGCACCAGATCCGCCCCCGAGCAGCTACACACCGAGCGTGCAGATGCAGAAATCACGCATGCGCACTTCGCGCCCGAATTTCCGTGCGTTTCATTAGCGTGGTTTGAACTCTATAGCAGGGTGATGCATTACGCAATGAACCCAGATCTAAGCAGTCTCTTCAGCCTTCTCCATCTCTGATATCAGTCTCTGGAATCTTCTGTCCGATCTTTCTCTGCCGCTGAGCCGCCTCACGTGACCCTTGGTGGGCGCCTGCCCCGTCCGCTGTAGCACCAGTCCGGGAGATCGGGGGAGAGGTCCGTATTCAGTTTCCGCTGCGAGCTCTCCCGCAGCCCAGTCTCCACTGCTGACCAGCTGACACCATTGAACCAGAGTGGAATGTTCTCACAGCCGCTAGAGACAGAGTTATTCTTGGAACATTCGCCGCCATCGTCGCCACCGACCAGAAGAAGCATGCGCCAACTACAAAAAACCACGCCCATTTTGATGTAGCAGCCCCGCCCGTTAACTCACTTCTTTGTTAGATGGCGGAGGTTCACGTGATAGGTGAACTAGTTGGCGCCAGTGAGTTCCCGTCGGGCGACCTGTTCTGTAAGTGGAGTGTCAGTCACGGGAGCGGCTGGCGGCTCCTGGAGGGAGCGAGAGAGGGACAGACGCAGACGGACCATCCCCAGGACGGCTCCTTCTCTAAATGGAGCCACCCTATAGGTACAATATCAAAAAGCCACACCCTATGTGCTTGCTTCGGCCTAAGTACTTATTAGGCAACCAGCCCTTTCGGTAGCTATAGATTCAATTTTTACCTTTGATGCTCTGCAGACCTTCATTTTGGTACCAAAGGCCTACAGGGATGGCCAAAGCTGTCGTTTCAAGTGTTCCACGAAGATTTCTTTGGGCGACATGAACTGTGTAAGTCACCTGATGATCACGTGACTTGTAGATGACATCATACTCTACCTCCAGACGGGTACGGGTTTGTTACAGTTCCCACAACTCCCGGTATCCATGACGTCAGTTGTGTAACCTGGCGACCAGTTGGATCGCATCGTCAGCAGATTTCCTGTACGCCCTCACATCAACAATGTCTTCTCCTTGTTTCTTCTCTTTTATCTTTTGTGTTCCGTCTTCATTATTATGGGTTTCTTTTGTTAGTGTCTCTCCCCCTTTCCCTGTATTTGAGGAACTTTTCTGCCCTGTGTTTTTCTATTGTTCTACTCTGTTCCTCCTCAGTCACTTCTCTTTTCTCCCCACTTTAACGCCCCCTGTCTCTCCCCCCCATTCCATCCCTCACTCACCCCAGCATTCTTCCTGGGTGGCAGTCCGGAGCTGACCTCAGACTCCCTCATTTACAGCTCCCACGATCGCCAACACCTCAGAACACAGGCCATGGGAAGAGTCCACCTCAACTCATGATAATACTCAGACACCTCTCTCACTTTGGAGTTGAGGTCTCCTGACCACGCCCCTTTCTTGGGCACGTGGATGTTGTCATGGCAACGCACATGTATCTATCATCAAAAGAAATGGCTTCTATAATACACCATTAGCTACCTTTCTCCTTTTGTCTCTTTGAAGTCACATATCTATTCTCTTTCTCATGATTGGGTGTGTCAGCATTCTTGTTACGTAACAGGACGTACGCATGCGCACGTTGTTAACAACGTTTTAACGGTGGGCGACCGACCCCACACACAGTGCAGTGCAGGGCGCACCAGAGCTGTGGCCCATGGTCGTCATCTTCATCTTGAACCGTAGCTACTGAGAGACC